GCTTCTTCCTCTTTTTGCCCCTCGCTTTACTGCCTTAGACAAGGTCTCTCACTAAGCCAGTCTCTCTGCCCTCCAACGCTGGGGCAACAAGCCCGTGTGACCATGCCCAGCCTTTTACGTCAGCCCCGGGGATGTAAACCCACGCTGGCTCTCCACATGGTGTCCAGGCCTGCACGGCCCTGCACTTTGCTGAACGAGCCTTTCCCTGGATAAGTGGGTAGGTTTATTTTATAGAAATTTTCCCGAGATTTAAAACAGAAAAAAAGAAGAGGCAAGGCTGGCGAAGCCACCTGCCCGGTAACACTTTTACCAGGGGGACACCTGTGTGCCAAAGGGGCCTGGATCAGGCTTGAGAGATCCCTTGTGTGTATCTGTGCATGCACCTGGGCTCTGAGGTTTCACAAGCCATGGTGCCTGTCAGTGTTCCAGGGAGGCTGTGTGGATGCTGGGTCCTCAAACGGCTACATAACTGGGGGTTCCCACTGGGCTTTCGCTGCAGTTCCTTCCCACCGTCTGTGTGTAGATGTTTGTACTTGTTCAACATTTATTCATTCAGTGGGGTATGGGACACAGGGACCCAACAGAGGGGGACACTGAGGGAGGTGGGGACCCAACAGAGGGGGACACCGTGGGGGATGTTGCTGAGTGACACTTATTTTCTTAAGCTATGTGGTGAGTTCACAATTATTTGTTTATAAAAACTCAGGCCAGGTGTGGTGGCACACGCCTTTGAGCCGGGTACTCACGTGACAGAGGCAGGTGGATGTCCATGAGTTTGAGACCAGCCTGGTCTACAGAGCGAGTTCCAAGACAGACAGCCAGGGCTACGTAGAGAGACCTTGTCTCAAAAAAAGCAAACAAAGAACAACTCTAGGGACTGGAGCTGTAGCTCAGCTGGTGGAGCGCTTGCCTAACATACACAAAACCCTGGGCTCCACCCCCAAACCCAAATACACTGGGCATGGTGGTACATGCCTGCTCCTGGCACTAGGGAGATGGGGGCAAGAGATGAGAAGCCTTCAATTACATATTGAGTTCGAGGCCAGCCTGAGCGCTATGAGACCTTGGTCCTACAATTCACACATGTGTCTGTCATGAGAAATACATTCTCGCCGGGCCTGGTGGTGCACAACTTTAATCCCAGCACTCCAGAGGCAGAGATAGGTGGATCTCTGAGTTCGAGTCCAGCCGGGGGCACTATGAGACCTAGTCTTACCTGCCCCCCAATCCATTAAGGTGCCTGTCCTAAGAAATATGTTCCCATGGCGCTAGAAACATGAGGACCCAGGTTTCCTTCCTAGCACCAACATCAGGGTGACTTAAAACCTGCCAATTGCCGGGAGGTGGTGGTGCACGCGTTTAATCCCAGCACTTGGGAGGCAGAGGCAGGAGGATCTCTGTGAGTTCGAAACCAGCCTGGTCTACAAGACCTAATTCCTGGACAGACTCCAAAGCTACACAGAGAAACCGTGTCTCAAGAAAAACAAAAAACAACATACACACACACACAAAAACAAAAAAACAGCAAAACAAAACAAAAAACCCTCCTGCAACTGCAGTTGTAGGAGATCCAATGCCCTCTGGCCTCCATGTGTGAGCACCTTTGAGCATGTACTGTGCATAAAATCCAAGCAGGTACACACGAATAAATGAAAATAACAAGTAAATCTTAAAAAGAGAAACATGTTCTGTCGGTGTGTGTGCAAACGTGTGCAGAAGACAGAGGTCAGTGTCCGGTGTCTTCCTCTATTGCTGTCCACCTTTTTTTGGGACAGGGTCTCCTATGCTGGAGCTCATAGATTCACATAGTCTGGCCAGACCGCTATCTGGCTTTCAGCGTGAGTGCTTGGGAATCGAACTCAGGTCCTCATGCTTGTGTGCAAGCACTTTCCCAGCTGAGCCATCTCCCCGCCTCGGGTAATATATTCTATCTGTAAAATATGTCACCTTTAATAAGGTGGGCTGTGTGCCATGGGCCTGTCTTCCTTACTCTTCCATGGGATGAGTAGTTAGGCTGAGACAGGAGAGTCCAAAGTTCAAGCCTTCCCTGGCCAACCTAGTGAGATATTTGTCTCAAAATAAACAAATAAAAAGAAGGCTGGGGCGTGTGGTGCAGTCTACGGTGACTGCTAGCCATGTGAGAAGACTCAATTTCAGGGCTGGAGAGGTGGCTCAGAGGTTAAGAGCACTGACTGCTCTTCCCGAGGTCCTGAGTTCAATTCCCAGTCTCTTGTAGCCAGCAGGCACACATGCAGTACAGAACACTGTATACATAATAAATCTTAAAAAAATAATAATAAAAGACTCAATTTCAACCAGGTGTGGGTGGGACATCTGTCATCCCAGCTTCCCCTAGAAGACCCCAACGGTGACCACTATCCCGGCCACACCCCCACAGGCTGGTTTTGCTAACTTTGGACCGTAAGCAAATCTTCTGTTTATTCTTCACCGAACACCTGCTACACATTGTACAATCTTATTTATTTAAAAGGTATCCCTGGCCGGCCTCCAGCGCTGGCTCGGTCTCCTGGCAAACTCAGGTCTCCCGAATACCGGCACTGCGAGCATGAGTCACCATGCCCCTGACCTCTATTCCAATTTTTTGTTGTTATTTTGTTAGTTTTCGAGACAGGGCTTCTCTGTGTGGCTTTGGAGCCTGTCCTGACACTCGCTCTGGAGACCGGGCTGGCTTCAAACTCACAGAGATCCGCCTGTCCCTCTGCCTCCCAAGTGCTAGGATTAAAGGCATGCACCACTAACACCTCGCTTGGAGCTGCTATTTTGAATTAGCATTTTCTCTCAGGTTCATTACACACCAAGTGTGCCATTACAAAGTAAATTTATTATAGTGTTATTGAAT